GGCAGCGAGTCAGTTAAACCATAGTGCACATCAGCCAAAATGCTCACAATTCATTTTTACAGTGTGTTTGGAGGAGGCAGACTGTGTTTCAGCTCAGCTCTACCACTTCAGTCACCTAAATGGTGCACTGGACAGCATCCAACACGTAGGGTGACCTACTTTTGGTCTGGTAGTGGTTTGGTCTCAAGTCATTGATTTTATTTATTTATTTATTTATTTATTTATTTATTTATTTATTTATTTATTTATTTTTAAGATAGGGCTTCTCTGTGTAACCCTGGCTGTCCTGGAACTCATTTTATAGGCCAGGCTGGCCTCAAACTCATGGAGTTCTCTGCTTCTAGAGTGCTGGGATTAAAGGTGTCCAGCTCATTAACATTCCTATATCAATACCAACATTAGACAGTTATACAGAGTACAGCTAGCTTCCAAGGGCACACAAATAAAATAAAATAATAATAATAACATATGTTCCAAACAGATTAGTGGCAATTTGGGTTTTTTGTTTATCTCTCTCTCTTCCTTCACCCCCTCCCCTCCTCTGACAGGATCTTGATATGTAGCCATAGCTGACCCAGAATTCTGTGTAGACCAGGCTAGATCTCAATTCAGAGATCTGCCTGCCTCTGCTTTCCTAGTGCTGGGATCCAAAGTGTGCTCCATTACACCCTGCCTTGTTTTCTTTCTTTTTTTTTTTTTAATTTAAATCTTGGGGCTGGAGAGATGGCTCAGAGGTTAAGAGCAATGGCTGCTCTTCCAGAGGTCCTGAGTTCAATTCCTAGCACCCACATGGTGGCTCACAACCGTCTGTAACGAGATCTAGTGCCCTCTTCTAGCCTGCAGTCATACATGCTATATACATAATAAATAAATAGAAAAAAATTAAATCTTATTATATTTGTGTGTATGTGTGCCCGCTCACATGCACACATGTGTATCAGAAGACAATTTTCAGGAGTCAGTTCTCTCCTTCCGATACATGGATTCCGGGGATCGAACTCATGTTATTGGGTTTGGCAGGTGTCTTTACCCTCTGAGCCGTCTCATAGACCCCCTGTTTTTGTTTGTATTTCAAGACCGAGTCGGGCTGGCTGGCCGGCCTGATAGTCAACATGTAAGCCCTCCTTGCCTTGATCTTGCCTCTGGCTCCCAAGTGCTGGAACAACAGGCGTGCATCACCTTGCCCAGCCTAACGATCCCTTCTGACCTCTTCTGACATCGTTGACTTGGT